TTAGGGTTTACGGTTTAAGGTTAAGAGGCTAAGGTTTAAAGGTTTACGGCAAACCTGGGGTTTTGCGGAAGGGTTTGGTAAGCCCAAGGCCCCAAGTTTGGACCTTAGTATAGTCGTATGATGTTTAATGCGACAAAGGCCCCTGCAGACACTGCTGCCCTTGAAAAATCTAAACACCTTAGCCCTAGACCCTAAACCCTAAATCCCTTCATTTTTTAAATCCAAGCCACAATCAAGTCCTAGACTCTAAAACACCTGAACAATTACACCTTGTACTTCATATCTACAGCACCTCCCCAAAAAAGCGCCACATGCCGCGGATATCCCCCAAAACGCTGAACCCTCCATCATAGATTCCCCTACTCCCCCACATACTGTACCGTAGGTTCCCACTGGCTATCAGCTTCAAACAACCCTTATTTGCCTTAAAGAACCCTATTTAAAGGGGGAGCCATGGGGGTAGTATGGGGGGTTACAAAGGAACGCTTGAAAACTCGAAACCCTAAACGTTCCCGCTTTAACTAGAGCTAGAGTATCCAACTAGGGTTTAGGGTTGTCTCCCTGTCCCCTTGCCAAAGGGCTTCATCTTCCTGAGCCCGTCTGGAACTTCATCGGGTCCAAGCTCCTCTACTGAGGGTAGGCAAGGTTTATGGTTTCGGGTTTAGTAGACTTAGGGCTTCGGGGCAGGGATTTGGGAAGAATGCTTACCTTGTAATCCTTGAATCACATATAACGAACCCAGTTATCCCTGCTGTTGACCTACTTACCAAGTCCCGCTGACCCTTCAAGTACATCTGCGTGAACATTCTATCTGCAGCTAAGCACTATAGGGGCCTATCTCAGACGAAAATTTATTGGGCTGACTTTCTGTTGCTAGTATACGAGCAGTATATGTGCATAACATGCGACAGAACTATAGTTTCCGCGGTATAAGGTTTCGTGATAATCAGGTTAAGTAGAGAATCAGAATGACACGGGAACTGGGATAATAAAGTGGCTGGAATGCGTAACTGAGAACTCTTAGCCCAAGACCCTACCAGTATCATTCCCTGACGACCATGGAATGCCAATAGCATACTTTGGGCATGATCACTCTACAATAGGGGTGTTGTTCAGGGCGATATACACATACATATATATATATATACAATCAAATTATGAATATCATACAACTCTTAATGAGTGGGTGCAGTACCCGAGCAATAGCGCTATACTCCAGAACCATCATTTACTACCCCCCCAATATTACCTTGACCCTGCGGAGTCCAGAATTACAAGCACGGAGGACGCAACCCTGAATGGGCTTCATAGGGTCTTAAGAAGGGGAAAGAAGCCAGTTTAGCGTTTAAGGTTTACAGTTTCAAGCTCCGTCCAAGATATGAGCCACTGTCTAAACTCCTAGTATCCCCCTTAATAAGCCCTATAGTAGTCCCCTATACAATCCCCTATATAACCCCCCTTTAAGGAGTTTAGACCATTGCTCATATACCACTGTTTGGGTAATGTTTGGGGTCTGGGCCGGTGAGGTCGTCTTCATGTAGAACACGCCGAAAGAGCTGCTACGTCACTTCGCAGACTGAAGCCTATATGGGGGATTGTCAAAATTATGGTCCCTTTTTGGGTCCCTTAAATTAGGCCCCGTAGTAGGCCCCGTATTATAATAGGGACCCGAAAAGGGACTATAATTTTGACAATCCCCCACATAATTGC